CAAAACCTAAAAATCCACCTGGCAATTACTGTCTGATAAAAATGACATTTCAAATCTGGATAGGAATGGCAAAAAAATTTTTTTCAGTGATACTGTAATAACTTTCAGTTAGGACTTAAGCTGTGTATGCTCACCTAAACTTTCTATGCACATCTTAGGCCGTTGTTCATGTTTTTCCTTCTGGAACTATTCTCAACCCATTGTTTCCTGGCCACCTGCTTTTACCTGCCTTAATCGTTTTCCCAGAATTCAGCTCAGTCATGACATACATGTTCAAATATTCAAACTAAAATCTTGGTAATCCAAACTTAGATTACTAGAGTTAATTATAGATGAAGTCCCAATTTAATCATATTTTTAATTTTTACTTCAGAATTGGAAAACTCCAACTCTAAATTTTATACTTCTCCCTCTCCCCTGTTAACCTATATTTTATAAATGGTGAAATTAGTTTACTATATTAAGAACTCTTTAGAGAAACTGCTGCTACCCAAAAGGCTTCCAGATGTGACATTGCATGGTTGCTTAGCGACTGCTAATTAATAAGCATCCTAATATGTTTAGTCAGGAGATGTTCCAAACAGGAAATTTGACCCTTTGAGATTCTTGTTTCTAGCTGTTCTAGTATTTTTTTTTCTGACAGGAAGGATTGTGTAGAGAAGAGAATAACAAGTTTGGGGTTTCTTTTTTCTTTAAGCTTTATTGGCACTTAAACCACATCACACAATTCAATAGTTTAATCATATCAAGAAGGATTGTACAGTCATTACCACAGTCAATTTCAGAAGTTTTTTAATTGTTGCCTTCATAAAATGTGGCATAGTGCTATTTAATTCTAGAGAACTGTCCAGCTCTTGAACTGTTATTAGGAGGGGTTCGTCCCTGAGAAAGGGCATCATTCTTGGTGAAGCGCAGGGTCCACGAAAAAGAGGAAGACTTTAAACTTAATAATAGACACTGACCGAAAACGGGCTCAAACATAACCGACGGTGGAGAAGAACTGGGCGGGTTTTTTTGTTCTGTTGTGTTTCAGGGTCACTGAGTTTTCTTAATTGACAACAACAATAATGAAAGGGTTTGTTGTATCAGCAGCTTTTAAGAATAATAGACGTTTTAGTGGGGTCAGCATTTTTTTACTGTAGCAGTATCTACTAGTGTATGGGCTCTGAATTCTGTCCTCAACTAAAACAACATAACCTAAGCCACTTGCTGTCAAGTCTGTTCTGACCTATACCAACCTTATAGGACAGAGTAGACCTGCCCCTGGGGGTTTCCAATATGGTAATTCTTTATGGATTAGCCGCCTTAACATCTGAGTGCTTAACCACTGTGCCAAGACAGTGTAATGCTTACTACTCATGAAGGTTATTAAGAGACTGGTATTACATCAACAGAACAGTGGTGCCTC